AAACTCCTATCACTTGTTGTAACGAAGTTTCATACAAACTTTCGTCTCTTAATTTAGCCCCTATGTGGTGAAATTTTCCAAAAATCCTCTCTTACATTAGTGCTCCTCTACGCTCCATAAGGAATCATTCCAAATTTCAACTTTCTACACTCACTAGTTTCGGCTGTACGTTGTCTATCAGTCAGTCAGTACCGCAAGAATTTTATATGTATATATAGATTGTCAACATGAGTTGTCTGGAAGTAATTGCTGCTTACCAATAAGGCCGCCTATTTTTACTTTCTCTGTTGTCTTACTTCTCTGTATTATGTGTTGTGCAGAGTGCAATAAAGCACGTATTATATTGTACCATTCCAAAAACATTACTGATGAAATTGATAATCTTCTGTTGAAGTTGGTTAAAAACAAATGGATTTTTTCTATAAATAGATAGATAGTTTTGTAGATAAGGGGATTACTATTCCCCTTATATACAAAACTCTTTTTCTCCAATTTAAGCCCTAAAATGGGGTTTTATAAATTTGACCTGTTTCTTTGTGGTACTTTCGAAATTTTAACTATGTAGTCCTAGTAGTATCAGAACAAAGCGACTGTAAAATACAGACAAAGAGACATAATTAACGACTCATATTTTTTTACTATTCACCTACGGAACTCTAAAACGATATTTTCTCGAAACAATATTTACTAGAGATGCGCCTAATATTCGTTTGGTTTAATATTCGTATCTTTTCCACTATTCGTATTCCGCTTAGGTGGCGAAAATATTCGGTTAGAGTATTTCTACTTTCTTGGTGTGTACGACACCGTAAATTCTGTTAGGTATTCTTAATAAAAGTTCCCTGCTTCCGAAATAAATGTTAGATGTATTACACGGAGCACTTATAGATAATCTGGTTAAATAAATAGAATGAAATTGTAAACCGAATAATTCGGCCGAATATATGGTTCGGTAAAAATTTTCAAAATTTTCAATTTTCAAAAAATTTTCGGTAAAAAAATTCGAATATTAATCGACATTCGGTATAAACTAACCGTATGTCATAATCTAATATTATAAAGAAGCAATATTATACCTACGGGAAACTACATTATATCTGGTGAAGATAGGCTATTCTATTAATATTATAAGTATGAAAGTTTCTTTGTTTGGATGTTTGTCCGTCAATCACGCCGAAACTATTGAACGGATTTTGATGAAATTTGGTATACAGATAGGTTATTAGTTGACTTAGATAATATTCATTTATCCCATTAAAAATTTCCCTAGGAATCACGCGGGCATAGACTGGCGAAAGCTAGTATTTTATAAGCAAAAACAGCAAATAAAGAGATGAAAATGGGAGTGGAAGTTTGCATATGGAATTTTAACGTTATATATCCATTGTTTACTAATCAATATGTCATTGTACTTATATCCGTGTCATAATATGAATCGATGGGTGTCTGCCTCCCGGGGCTGAAGTCAATGTTGCCGCCCCTCTCAATTAGGTATTTTATATAATATAGTATACATTATATTCATTAATTTTTAATATTTTTTCGGCAAGAACTGTCTTCATTGCATTATAGAGGATAGATTTAGCATGGTTTAGTTTTCGCCATGCAATTGCCAACGGACCGATACAAAGGACAATTCTTCGTGTGATTTACAAATAATAGGGATGATGACTGGGAAAAAAAATGCAATTCTATTTAGTCCGTCAGTCAGATAATAGAAAAATATTAGATACGTATTTTTTTTTTACTTCAAATTAATAAGAAATAGCTTAGATAACAAGTATTAAAGTTGAGGAGTGGGGGCTCGCTACGTCACTGTTGAGTAGAAAACGTACTCTAACGTGACGTCATGCGAAATTTCAACTCCATGTAACGCCGTAATTATATGATTACGAAAAAAATAAAAAAATATGTGTTTAATATTTTTTAACACTACCTGACGGACAAACAAACAGAAATTAGATATCATCCCTATTGTTCTTAGTCTGGGTGTTCTTTGTCCCTCTCAACACAGGATTTGTGACCTAAAAAGCGGGGTTGTTATTTAAAAAAAAAGATTTGAAATAGAAAAAAAAAACATATGAACTAAACAACTGAAGATCCATGAAAAAACTTTCTTTGAATTGTCAAAGCATCACGTACTTTCTTAAAGGGACGTAATAAACAATATTGAACTTAATATATATGTAATAGAAGTAATTCTTGATGATTATAAGTCATAAACAATCCAAGCACAAAATAACAGTGTTGCCATTCGCTTCAAAATATAATTTAAAGAAAGAGTATTCTCCGAATTCGTCACAGAATAAGTAATGAAAAATTCCGCGCTCTTTTCATGCGGTCCGAATTTATAGTTGCGTTAAAAATATGAATTCATTTATTCATGTATTGCATGTCACAAGTATAAAGATGTTACATTTATATTTACAGTTCATGTGACACCCTGTAAGGGTGTAGCAATTCTGAGTACTAAAGGCTATACTTTATATAATATAATATAATATTGTCAACTTATTATTTAGAATGCATATCCTACTTAAGGCTACATATATCTAAAAACAATTTATATTTTATTCATTATATATTAATAATTAACATTGGCATCTACAATAAATGGTTTAATTTAAAATAACTTCTTTATATATTTGAGAATGTATATTATTATATGTATAATTTATTATATTTTACTTAGGTAAGGCTTGAACTTGACTCTTATCTCCTTTTATTCATTTAACGAAACGTACCCATCCTCAAAGAATTCCGCGACACTATAATAGCCTTTGTTTATAAGAAAGTTTTTTAAGTGATTTTAAAAAGCTTTCGTTTTTTCGAGTTCTTTAATGTAATTGGGTATTTTATTGTAAATTTTTATTAACATTGAATGGGGGGCTACTGAGTACAATTTCATTTTTGTTGAAGGGACCTTTAGTTTATTATGGTATCTATTGTTGCGTCTTAATAATTTTACCGGGGAATATAAATCCATATGCTTTTTGACAAATTTACAGGCTTCAAAAATATATAAGTTTGGCAGAGTAAGAATTTTCAGACTTTTAAAATAAGGTTTACAAGACTCCATTTGGTTTATATTTGTAATTATTCTTATGCATTTTTTTTGCAAGATAAAGATTTCCAGGGTATGTGGACTATTTCCCCAAAGAATTATTCCATAGTTAAGACGTGAATGGACAAAAGAATAATAAGCGAAGAGGGCTGTTTTAATTAGTACAAATATTTAAAAAATATATTTTATTCTTTACTGTAAAATTTTGTCGCCCACTAAAAAGTGCCGCTATGCCTCTGAACAGTTCCCTAGGGACCGCTGTTGGAGAGCTAATAAATAATATTTGTTTTAATGTCCGGTAGTAAATGATACACATTTCATGTTTCTCTTAGATCATTGAGGTAAGATTATATTTGTTTAAGATTCTCAAAGTTTGCGTTTTTTTTATCTTTGAAGATCGCTCTAGTTTCTGCTTGAGTGTTTGCCAACAGAGTGTTTTTATGGACAACAACCGTCTTTCATTAGAGAACTGTGTAGGGTGACCATGTATTTGAACGATTAGAGATAAATAATTGAATAATTTTTTTTAATATGACAACCTTCGTATCACGCCAGTTTCAAGGTGATTGCAATATTTGTGATTTTTCTTAATTATCTCGGGTCTGGGTGTTATGGGAACTCCATAACACTCAAGTTATCCAATCTGTAACGGTTGCCTGGAAATTGCTTACTAGCGATGTTGCTGAAGAAAACTTTTTTATAGAATTACTTTTAAACTTTGTATTTATATTTTTGATTCGTATTGTCTATTGACAGGAAAGCAGTTCTTTCTTTGTTTAACGCAGCTTAAGTGTTTCATATATATTTTAAGATTTTTACCCTAACGTGCCTTTCTTATAAACGGCTATATTTACAGTCCACAGTATTTAAGCAATAAGGCCGCCAATTGCACTATATATTGTAGTAGTTTTTGCCCGCGACTTCGTCCGCGTGGTTTAGTTTTAAGTGTAGAAATGTGAAAATTCAATAAAATCTTTTATAACCTAATTTACCCTCTAACCTCTTAGGCGTTGAATTTTATAAAATCCCGTCTTAGTGAGCACCTCCGTCCTAAAGAGAACCCGCATGCAAAATTTGAAACCTCTAGCACTTGATCCTCTTCACTCCTTAAAGAATCTTCATTCCAAATTTCAACTTTCTACGTTCAGTAGTTTCGGCTGTATGTTGTCTGTCAGTCAGTCACTCGGTAGCGCAATAATTTTATATATAGGAATGTATAGAAAAAGTAAGTCTTTCATATTTAAATGTATATAGTATGTAGTGCATAAAACTCTTTGTTTTTCTAATACTACTAATTTATAGATGTCAAATTATTAAAAAGCTTACGTATTAATAAGTGTGATGTCAAAATAAATAAATAATAAATTATTATAATAAATAAAAATAATGATAAATATTTTTTAAAATAAAAATAAATATTTTTTAAAATTATACATAAAAGATATTTATAAATATTTTTTAAAATACATATTTTGAAGAGGATTGGATAAAAAATAACTTTAAATGTCGTTTCTTTATTTTCAGGTAGGAATTTTATTAAGTGTAATTTAAGTAGTAATATAACTTGTTTTTGTTACTAATAAATAAATCTTTATTTTCATAGCAACACATTGAGTTTACATTGTCAATCCTTTTTGTTGAGCCATTAATTTATATATATTGTATTTGTTTGCACTATTTATGTTCTTTGTCTTATGGCGTCTGAACAATAAAAAATAATTCATTCATTCGTAAGTTTTTATATTCCGAAAACGATGGTGACTTTAAAGTTATGTAATTCTATAAATAGAAAAAAAAAACAATTTAAAAACAGAACGAAACGAGGAAATATCAGGTAATATTAGTTTTTATCCTTGTTACCAATAAAACATATTCATTCTACATTAGCAATGACATTGAGTGGGTTGGTTTACTTGTTGTAAATTACTAATTCAGCAGTGCGAAGCCGGTCTTTGTCGCGAGCAGGCGTCTGTGAAGTGAGTCATTGGTTATGTTATAAATTCGCTTATAAATGTTTGTAAATATAGTTTTGCATTGAAATTTATTAACAACGTTAATTATGTGTCGTTTATTGTATTTTTGGCAGTTTGTTTTCGGATTATTCCTGTGATAAAATCAATTGTATTTTGCTGAGAAAGAAATGCAAGAGTGTGAGAATTTCTTGAGATTGTTTACTGCGATCTGTGTCCGGTATTACGGCATTTGATTAAAAAAATATTTTACTGTTTGAAAAACCCTGTCTGAGAGTTACACAAAGCGTAATTATACACTTCAGAGATGTACATAAGAAATTATAACCTGTATGCAAAATTATACACTACTTATGACTATCCTTAAAGGATATATGAGGTAGGACTATTAATTTATAATAATACACAGTTTTATCCGACGAAATAGCAATCCTGGTTAAATATTATAATGAAATAAAAGTAAGACTATTTTGAAACTTAATAATCTAATTTTCAGAAAAAAACGTAATACCTGTGTTGTATTTATTTCTTAAAACTTACATCATTCAATCATTGTGTCTTAAAATAATATTTAGGAGAAATCAAACGTTTAATGACTAATTATCATTTTTAATCAAAATTTAATAAAATATCCAGCCAGTTGCACGAACGTCCATTAATTAACATCACACATATACAAATTTTCAAACAGAAGATTCATTAGAGCTTAAAATCGTTATTAAACCTTAATGGAAGTTTGTGGAACTGACCGGTAGACGGATCTCCATAAGTCAAAAATGGCTAGACTTTTTAGTGATATTATTACTGACTTTCGGCAAGCTCTCGTGAGGCTTAGTTGTTTTAACAGCACGATGCGCTAATTTCGCCTGTTAGAAAACTATAGCGAAGATTGGATTTCGTATATGGCTTCTATGGTTAAAATACAGTATTTCATTTTATATAGCCTTGTTTTTAATAATATTAGTTTGTGATAAATTGATAATTATAGTAATGTTACATACACAAACTGGACTAATGTTTTAATCTTTTCAAACTGTAAATAGAGCATATTCTTTTTTTTGTGCACAGCTCTTTATAGGACTGTCCCCCGGGTTTAACTTAATTTTTATTCTATAAGAAAAAATATATTTTGAGATTTATTATTAGAAAATGCAATTCACATATGTTTTATTTTGTAATTAATAAATATTTTTTCCATTAATTCGAGCAGAACTAATTTAATGACCATTAAAGTGATCCACATGGACTGATTTCGTATGTCCCCTCATCAAATACTATGCTTTATTATGAAAAATAATAAATGTTTTTGGTAGAAATCACATAATGTATTTGGCTCATTTTATATTTAAATATCGACAGCAGTTATATATGCTAAAATTTTCTCAATTGTTTACAGATATTTTATTAAAATTAGAAAAATTGACGCGTTTAAATTTCTGTATGATCCGGAACTTTCAGTTTTGCCACCGTATTTTAACTACAAAAGCTCCCCTAATATGAACATTTCTTTTTGAAATGGAAACATTTAATGCTTCTTTACACAAAAACGACATTTTGAATTTTGTGTCAAATCAGTGCAGCTTGTAAACAAGACGTGTTAAAGTGACCCTACGGACGAACACATTTTTAACTCAGGTTTGTGTCTTTAATGATTTGTTTTTTAATTGTTCAAAATTTCTATCAATTTTACACGTTATTGTAAATTCAATTTAGTATTCAGTAGTTATAAATTTCAAACGCCAGGCACGATTGATAATTTTTAATTTATTTTTTAATGCATGTGGGTAAATATTATGTGACTTCCATTTTATGACTATTTTGCTGGTCACATACGGGCTGAACCAAAAGTTACTACATGACTGACCTCATAAAGGTTCGTTCATAAAGACGTTAATTACTTTTTATCAAGCTAAATTATGATCTATTTTTGAGTACCTGCCTACTTATTTTTTACTTGTGTAATAAATAGAAATACCTACCATTATCCGGTTTATTAGATAGTTCTAAGATATAAGATACCTAAGGTCAATCGTTAAAAGAAAAAAATATCTCTGAAAATAGTGCCATATAGACAAGCCTTTACTGTTTTCGGAAAGAGAAAAACTAAAATTGTACTATTTATTCTGGTTTAAGGGTATAGTATTAAGTATCACTTAGTGTAAAAATTAATTTTATTAAAATAGATGGTCTTGCAATCGCAAAAAACTTAATATTTTCAAAACAAATTAAAAAATTCTAAAAAAAAGTATCATTAGTCACAAAACTGATGAACAAAGTACATTTTTTTCAGGATTCTTGAATTGAGATATACGTTTTTAAGTTTTTTAGTTAATATACATGTCAGATATTTTAAAATAAATAAAAATCTTTTAATAACTGCACTAGTTTTTTCTTAATTGGTCTTTACAAATAGTCACATAACGGATAGCACTACACGACTTGTTCCAATTTGTTTAGGTATATCTTTAAATAAAACTTATATTTTGGCGTTTTCTACTATATTTCCATTATAAGTTAGTATAACCATTATAAATATATAATAAAGTTTACCTTAAAATATAAAAAATACCGAAACATGAGTGATGAGAGTTCGCACAAAAAATAAAATATGCTCAATAACTAAAATAAAAAAGAAAACTTAATTTATTATACTCATACAGTACTACTTATAAACAAGATTTAGCTTCAGAGTAAATTTACGCTAAAATTGCAATTTTAGTTTTACTCCAAATTCATATTACACAGAGAATAAGCAAATCTACTACCTTCTAGGAGTAAATATTACTACCGTAGTACCTCGTACTAGGTTAATGTTTGCCAAGTCTCTGTTTAATAATATGAATTTTGATTAATACTAAGTGCAGTCTCAGATAATGTTTTTTTGATTATTGTGAACTTGTGACCGCGGAATAACTCAAGAAAGCGTGTATGTAACTGAATATCATTAACTTTCATCTGGTTTTCTACAAAGAAAGAACTTCCATATGAGCTGTAATTAAATATGAGGAAGCTGCATTATATTTTTTTATGGTTCTGTCACAATTAGAACATAGATTTTAAAATTATCTCAATGGACCACAGTTAACCCTCAAATTCATACTTTTTTTTCATATCTTTTTGTTTATAAAAGTATAAATAAAATACCTGTGCTGTATGTGAGCAAATTTATTATCCGAGCACTTTTCAGCACGCCCGCACAATTCGCCATTATTTATGCTTATCTACTGTACGATTCCTTAAAAATTCGAATTCAATCAGGTTCGTAAGCGACCTTAACCTTGAATGGGTATTGGGTACCGTGGGAATGTTATGGAAACCTGATTTGAAGATCCGTTTTTATAACAAGACTAGCTTTCTGCTTGCAGCTTAGTCCGCCAGGGAAATGTTTATTCGGATATAGATTCATATCATAACACGGGATATAATTACAATGACAAATTGAATATTAAACAATGGTTACTATGGTTTAATTTCCCATAGAAATTTCCAGTCTTATTGTCATCCCTTTATTTGCTGTTTTACGGGACAATTTATAGCCTAGTTTCAACGCATATGATGTAACTTCCTGGGATGCGACCGCCTAACTCATGGACGTAGGCGTAGTCGTAGCTATAACCTACGCTTTATAGGTTTTACACATGAATCTGTTGATATTGTTTTAGAATTAATATTCTATTAATATTATTTGTTTTTTTTATTTATATATTTTATCAAACATTTTGGTTTGTTTTTCTTTTCGAAATAGCATTGTTTGTATCAATTCGACATTTTGTAAATTTCGTTTAACTTAAATAATTCAGCAAACAAAAACAACTAAAAGCATTGATTAAATATGTAAATAATAAAAAATGATTAATTTTAAAACAATATCAACAGACTCATGTGTAAAACCTATAAAGCGTAGGTTATAGCTACGACGACGGCTAGGTCCATGAGTTAGGCGGTCGCACCCCTGTTGATGAAACAATTTTTAAAATCCGTCTAGTAGTTCCAGAACCTATTCGATTTAAACAAATTAACGATCATATATTTCCTTTTTATAGCATTATTATAGAAGTATAGGTAATAAACAGTTTTCTCAAAACAAAAATACTTACGCCAGTATCTATAGTCGAGGAAAATTAATTGCTTGAGTGAAGTAAATATGTTTTTTAGAAATAAACAAGAATTTGATTGTCAATATAACCTCAAAATTGCTTGATATTAGATCTCTATGAAGAATCATAATTTTTTTTGAGAGGTTCCAATATCGCAAGTTGGGTAATACCTACCTATTTATAATAATATTCTAATCATACGCATACCTACTTATAATTGCAATCAATTATGAACCACTCGAGATTGTAATTAGTAGAGCTCAAGGCTTTATTTTACATTGTATTTATTTACTGATTCAATAAAGTACACTAGAAGCTTCTTCACGGCTTCATTATTTGCGTTTTCATTATTCGCGGGTGAAAAATTTGTAACCGAACTTCTGTAGTCGCGGCTAAAATCTGCGTATTCGCGGATGCAATCGGTAACGTAAAGGAATTTAGCGTCGTTTATTGACGCATCGCCATCTTGTAAATATTTCGGGCATATGTCAGGGTGGCTTTTACGCCTTTATTTTTTGCTCTGTTGTAGCATTCATAAAATACTTTAAAAAAGCTACAGTATTAACGCTACAATTACTTAGTTATGAATCTGAAATTATAGATCTTTAAAAACTGGAAAAAATACTTTTGCTAGAGTCGCCATCTAGTGGAGGTGCTTTTGGGACTTTCTTTTTTTTATTACTTCCTCATTAGGACTTTATTACCAATAGTGCTACTTATAAACAAAGTTTAGCGTCGGAGTAAATTTACGCTAAAATTGCAATTTTAATATTAGTCCATATTCATATGACACAGAGAATAAGCAAACCTACTACCTTCTAGGAGTAAATATTACTTCCGTACAACCTCGTACTAGGTAAACCTTTGCCAAGTCTCTGTTTAATAATATGAATTTTGACTAATACTAAG